CTAGCTAGCTAACTTAGCTACCATGTGCTCACATATTGCCTAAATTTCTGGGAGTAAATAAACTAGAACTACCAATGTCACTTTCTAATCACATACAGAAATTCCAACTTCACAGACTGCATTAGAAAAACATACTTACTCCGATAATTATTTGACATTGCTCATTCTGGATTACACTGTCCCTTTCACTTTCGCGCCACTCTCCTGTGAATTCTTCCACATTCATTGAGTGAGCGTCTGTGTATGCGCAATGCATTAAAATAAATTGCAATAAAAACAATATAATTTTTCAGTTAATGTCATATATTTAATTATTTTCAGGATTGTAACCCTTAAAGTCACAGTTTGTTTAAATAATGCCACTTCATGAATGGTACATCTAGAATTGATTTTAAGGTCAACCTCCTTATATACAAAGCACCAAGTTGAACTTCTAGCTCCCCAATTAACTATAGACCTCCAAGAACACTGAGATCATCTTCTGCTGCTTTATTGAAGGTTCCAGTAAGTAGGAGAATCAGGAATGCAGATTTTGTCAGCCATGGCCCAAAGCTGTGGAATACATGACCTGTAGATATCTATTTTTTTAGAATTTCTAAAAGAAAGATAAAAACATATTCTTTACTTTAGCCTTTGACTCGCTCAGACCTCCCTGATTCATGTCTGAAATTTTGCACTTTTCTCTGCACTATTGCTGCAGCACTTCTAAAAAGATATCATAGTGTTGTGAGTGACAGGGCTCAGGAGTCGTGGAATGAAACACAGTTTTAAGTTCTTCTAAATCAGGCCTTTAGTATATATTATACTAAATATTAAAATGATAAGAGTGGGTGGGCAGAGCAACATTACCAAAAGCAGGATGGTGAGGAAGCCGTCGAAGATGTTGGAGAGATACCATCTCCAGCCGAAGGCAAAGATCTTCACACACATTTCAAACAGGTAGAAGAGGATGAAGCACAGGTTAATGATCTGACAGGTGGACAGGGGAAGAGCAAAATCAGTCACCACACTGATCACGACCATGGACCTCCAGAAGACTCCAGAGGACCTGTGATGAGTCAGCTCACCTCTAAGATGTCGTTATCTCGCTCTGCTGTGGACTTCTCAGAGTTCAACAACAGGATGGTCTGAAACACACACACAGGTTATCCTATCCTGTGTGTGTGTGTGTATGTGTGTGTGTGTGTACTTCCAATTTTGTGAGGACCAGTTTGAGTTTTAGATTGGTGAGTTCAAAGGCTGTTTGATGGTTAAGACTTGGTTTTATGGTTCATGTTAGAATTACGTGAAGGTCAGTGTGTGTGTGTGTGTGTGTGTGAGTGCAACTTACACATATGCAGAAGACATTGGCCAGTGCAACTGCGTTGCCAAATATAGTGAGATAGTGGTGACTGAAGATCAGCTTAAGTCTCTGCAGGATCGGAGAGTTTTATTGAGGCAAGGGAGGGTGCTGGGAGGAACACACACACACACACACACACACACACACGCACACACACATACACACACACACACACACACATACACACACACACACAGTGTGAGAAGAGATAGAAGTCTAAGTAAATTACCACCTCACAGTTATGTGTTGAATAACAGACAGAAGTTGACCTTTGACCCTTTAGATAGATATAAAATGAAGACATCTCAATGTTGAGTGAATGGGGCACCGATCTACCTCCTTGATGTGGTCTTTATCCAGTTCTTCAAATATCTTCCTGAACTGTCCTCAATCCATGAAGCCGAGGTTTGCAAACCTCTGAGCCTCCTGACAGGATGGAGAGCAGAAGAGATGAGTCAAGAGGGAAGTTTAAGAACCAGAGGACGTGTTGTTCCTGGCGTCATGTATTTCAGTATGAAACACATCATATTGAAATTCAAAGTTCACAAATTTTAAAGGAGTATATGGAGGAATAACATGTTACTAATAACATTAAGATCTGCTCCATTAAAGTGTCCCAGTGAGCCACAACAGTGGATGTTAGTTCTATTATTTATACCTGTATGTGTGCAGGTCTCTGGTGTGAGTTTGTGTGAAAGTATGTGTGTGAAGGTGTGAGTGTGTCTGAGTGTGTGTGTTGGTTCCGGCTGCTCTGTAGTAGCTCTTCATCTGGACTCTGGACATCACCTTCAGCATGGCATCAACACGCACATGCTCCCTGACAAAGAGAACAAGAGAGAACAAGACCACTAAGAACAACATTTGTATAAATTCTATTTTGTCTAAATTTGAAATCAAAATTTTCAGATTCCATTGTATTAAATTTGACATTAAGATTTTGCCATATTTCTTTAACACATAAGTTTGGAAAGATTTTAGACCATACTCCCTCAGATGTAGGCACTTATAATTCTTTTCACCACAAAATATCATAAATCTGTTTTACTTTCATATGCTTTAAATTCTTCTTAACACTGTTAAATTCAAGAAAAAGATTTGGCATGTCACTCTTTCCCAAATTTATTGTCTGTTTTTCAATAACTTTTACCCATTTTACAGGAATACCTGTTTTAATATTTTCAAACACATTATCTACTGTTGATCTTCTAACGTCCTCATACCATTCTAAAACATAGTCATATATTTCTCTATTAGGTAAGAAGCAACAATATCCTCAATCTGCCTTACTCCAGCTGACATAAACAGCTAATACATATAAAACATTTTCCCATTCTTCTCTATTTTAGGGCATACGTTGTTATATCACCTCAATCATATATCGCATCCTTTAAGAATTCTGCCCATGCCCCAAAGACTTCCTGATAGAACAAAGGCACTGTATTTGTAAAGCACTTTTCCAAACACATAAAAATTCCACCTTCACCACAACCTCTACACTTAAATAGATAGTGCCTAAAAAAGACAATCCATCCACAATCTTTATTTCCATATAAATACTTCTGTACCATTTTAATTCTCATTGCTTTCCTTTTAGTATCTATATCGACTAATTTATGTCCTCCATTCTTGTAACTACCAATCAGTGGCTTTGTTGAAATCTTAACCAACTTACCACCCCATGGAAAATTAATTACAATACCTCATAATTTTATTTATTATTATTTATTTTATTTCAAAATTGACACTGACCTGCATTTATTATATTGAAAAACATAATTTCAGATTTTTAAATATGAATTTTTGCACCGGAAGCCTTCCCATATATTTCAATGTCTTTCATAACATACTTCACACTCTTTTACTGTGGAGGTAATATCATCTGCATACTAATAAATCAAACTAATTTTGTCAAAAGGAATTTTAATATCTTTAATTATTCTATCTTTTTTTTTACAAATACTGCCAGAGGTTCAGCTGAAATACTATTCAATATAGCAAAAAAGCAGCGTTGCCTCACAGATCTCTCTAGTACATCATTTATTTTAACAAAATAACATTTAAAAAAAAAAATCCCTTCTTTCAAATTTAAATTCAGTCTGTAATATTATGTCAGTTTGTACTGAAAAGGTTAATGTTCTCATCTGACTGCTTTTCCTATAAACAGCAGTCCATTCAATATTATACACAGCTTTAAGATCATTAAATATCACTCTGTGCCTTGTTTCACGTCGACTGTGTTCTTTTTTAACAGGAATGCCTCAGTATGGTGTTTCCCGTTTGTACTATAGTTGCAAATAGGATGAGTATGAAGTTTAAACAGACTATATTGTCATATTATGTCAGTATGGACAGATGAGGTCAAAGTGTTGCTTTGAGCGTCCCGAGCGCAAACAGCAGTCTATTGGGCGTAATACAATGTTTAAAGTTCATTCAAAGCAACACTATATTTAGTGTTCAGACTCCTGCCCGACTCATACACACCGTGAACATCGTTAAAAAGCTATCTGGTGCCTTTTTTCATGTCACCTGTCTTTTGTCTCAGGAAAACCTCAGCATGCTGTTTCCCGTGTGTACATGCGGCAAATAGGACGAATATGAATTTTAAACAGATTCTAACGTCATATTATGTCAGTATGGACAGATAAGGTCAAAGTGTCGCTCAGAGCGTCCCGAGCGCAAACAGCAGTCTATGAGGTGTAATATAATGTTTAAAGAACATTCAGAGCAATATAGTATTCAGACTCCAGCTGGACTCATACACACCGTTAACATTGTTAAAATGCAGTCTGGTGCCTTTTTTCACTGTGCATGTCTTTTGTCTCAGGAAAGAAATATTATGTCCGTTTGTATTGAAAATGTTAATGCGCTCATCTGACTGTTATTTCTCCTATCAACAGCAGTTCATTCGGTGTTATACACAGCATTAAGATCAGGAAATATCACTCTGTGCCTTTTTTTTTTACTTCGCTTGTCTTTCTTAACAGGAAAGCCTTTAAAATGTTAAAGTGTTGATCTGAGTGTCTTTAGTGCCAACAGCATTCCATTTGGGGTCATAGACAGTGTTAACATACAATGACATATACCTGAGCAGGACGTGTTAAAGTTTACAAACATAATATTACTTTTATTTTGGGAATGTGGCAGAGTTGAACAGTTGGACTTTTTGCACTTGGTTGGAACAGATATGCTGCTGTATGCAGTAAGTACAATATCCTTGTTTTATCTTTGAGCAGTTATGTTTGGCTTCAGGCTGACTTTTCTCAGCTTTCTGGATCTCAAAATATAAGTCAAATTTCTTGCAATGCTTGGCAGTGACTTTATTGAAGCAAGGCAATGGTCCATTTCACTGAGAATTGTTTTCGTTTTTCTGGTCTGAACAGGGGCTGTTGTCAGGATCAGTAAATTCCCCGTCCTGCCCTGAACAAATTCCTGACTTAAGTATTTAAAACTTTTCTTAACATTTGATTTATTCTCTTACGTTTTTCATTTTACTCTCTGTGATATGTTAAAGTCAGTGACCAACAGTGTGCTGATTTTTTGTTTCATTTTTCACAGTCAAGAGCGTCTGATCAGTCTTTCTTTATTGTAACTGTTATTAAGTCATCCGTCTGTTCCCTCACAGATCAATAAACTTACATGTTGAGGACACCTCAGATTCATTGAACAACACACTCATCAGTTTTATTTTAAGGCAAAATCACTCAACTTCCTTTGTGCCTCAGGTACAGTTTTCTAACATAACACTTTTGTTACAGAGGAATGAAATGACACTTCAATGTCACCACTGCTGTAAACTGAACACAGGAGCTGGTGAATGATGTTGAGTCTGAAGACTTGTCAATGTGCTCATGCTTTCATACACAAAACTGTTTCTGTAGGAGAAACTAGTTCTTCTCATGAATCAGCAGCATCAGGTGATGAGACCAGTGGTCAATGACATCATTAGACAAGAAGCAGAGCAAATCAGGTTTTATTTATATATAAAAATTGTAACTTTTTCAATCATAGGGAAAAAGAAACATCTATGAAAATAAGGTGAGAAAAGAAATGTGTTGTGTGTTATTAAAAACTTCTCTGCTTTCACAAAGTAACACGACACTTCAGAATAACAGCAGGATGCTGCTCGACTGCTGCTGCTCCATTTAGAACCACAATCCAACACTTATGGCTCAGAGCCTGAGAGCTGGGCTGAACCTCGCTGAGTGAAATCATGGCAGTGAGTATCTCAGACATGCTCCACCCTGACAGATGACAGCAGACTATCTGGGGAAAAAGTGAGCCAATAAAACTTGATGATGAGCTCCTCTTCACACCAATGCTTCCCACAAACACCACAAACACATAAAACACAGCTGATACATCCCCAGCTCAAAGTGTCAGTTTAGCTGAATGTGTGTGTGTGTCCTCAGGTTGACCGTTACCCAGCCTGCTTTGGTTGTCAGGGTGGATGGGCCACTGTAAGTGTAGCATGTTGGTGAGGTTGGATGTGAAGGCTTGTAGATGGCAGCATCGACAGGCTGTAGTGACGTCACACTTCACTACAGTGTCTCGTATGAAGCAGCATCAGGTCACCGCCCTCAGGCTTAGTCGTTGTCTTTCCCGCCTGTTTTACTCAACTGCAACAAAAACACAAAAACACATGTAACACAGGTCTGTGTTGTTGAGGACGTTTAAAAACATTTTAACTGAGATGGTTTCACTTACATGCTGGAGGACGGTTGTATCAACGAGCAGGGAGAAGGGACAACAGAACAAAAAGAAGTTAGTTCATCATATTGCTACAGACTCAGAGGTAAGAGGTGCTGCACCATCTAGTGGAGAAAAGGTGAAATGCACCTACTTTAATAACATCCACCCAGTTCCAGCCTCGAGGCAGTTCTCCTTTGTTATCTGAAAGAACAAATCCTTCTTTAAAATGATGAAAGTGTTTAGAACTAATATCAACCAGACAGTCAAACTTAAATAGCATTTGTTGCACAAAAATGAGACATCCTGTTGGGTTTGATTGTTTTATTGTACTCAGTGTCAGCATCATGCAGCTTCAATGAAGAGCTGAAATAAGAACACAGACCATATACAGTAGGTCATTGTGTCATATGTGTGGGAAAAGTGTTTTTCAAGGTTAAGTTTAAGTTCAACAGTGTTATACGTGGATATCTGTCAGGACAGTGCGTCCCTACAGCACCTCCTCTCATAATTGTTTTCACATTTCCTATATATACTCTGTTGGTGTGATGTGGTTGATGAATCTTGAAAATCAAATGTGCTTTCATGTGAGAGGGTCACAGAGGAACATGAATGAAATATTGTGGCAGTTGCAGATGGCACCTGCCACAATGGTTGGTTTGTCTATAGCACGATATTTCAATTTTGCAGTCAATGCGAGAGCCCCATTTAGGGTTGAGGTCCTTTTGGTGCACAGTTTCCAAGACTCCTTCTCCAGCTGCTTTTCCTTTTCCTATTCACTAATTGGTTTGCTTAGTCAATTAGCTTCTCCTCTTAGGCTTTCTGTGACAGGGCCTTCAGTGCTGTAAAACCAGGCTAAACAATCCCAATTGGCCATGGGATGTAACAAGCTCTCTGATTGGTTGGAGAACTAACCAGTCATATCATATCCATAGGGTTTTAGGCTAAATTGGCTTTGGGCTTATTTATTGGTGGATTAATTGTTCATTTATAAATTCTTTTAACAATTCCCATTTCATTTCCCATTTAAATATGAAATTAAGGAAATACTTTATTAGTTTTCCTGTGACGTCCCTGGTCCTCCATACTGTTGACTTATAAGTAAACTCAACAGCTAATGTTATGTGGTTTGTCGTTAGTTGTGTTAAAGAGGACCTATTATGGCCATTTTTAAGACATTATTTTTCTTGTGCTGTACATTTTATACAAGACCCTCTGTCTGAAAGGCTCTGTTAGCACTCTGGGCCAGTATTCACAAAGAATCTTAAGGCTAAAAGTAGCTCCTAACTTGCCGATTTAGGAGAAACTCCTAAAAATAATGGGCGTGTCAGTCCTAACTTTAGGATTTTATTTTACTAAGAGCTATTCACAAAGCCAGTTAGCGCTAAAAGTAGCTCCTAAGTCTGGGAGAAGTTAGAAATAGTTGAGAGGACGCCTAACTCACTAAGACCAAATCACAAAGAATCATAAAAGGGTCAGCGCTGTCATTCCACGTCGCAGTGTTTTGAGAACCTAAAACGATGTTGAATTACTTAAAAGATACTGTCAATCATGAGGGAATAATGATTGTTGTGGAGTTTGTGAAGGATGCAATCTCCTACCAACTGACACCACCTGATCAGTGCGGAAATTGGTCTAGCAACGCTGTGTTACTTGGCAACAGAGAAAAACCGATCCACAAAACAATAAATGCACTTTGACCTAACATCATAGGACAATACATACGATTTCTTTTAAATGTTCAACAACTACAGGGAAATAGAGCAGCTTTATGGCAATAGCTGGTCTACCTGCTGTGATTGATGCCATAGATGGAAACATGTAAAAATGATTGCACCATCGCAAGACGAGGAGGTATTTGTGGACAGGAAAACAAAATCACACCATCAACACACAGGTTGTATTCGATGCTGGCTGTACAGCTGCAGACATTGTTGTACAGTGTACAGGATCTACACACAAGTCATGGATCTAAATGGACAGTGACCTGAGGCAGCTGTTTGAAAGGATCATATTCCACCTGTCTGGTGTATGAGGTGTATGAAGATTTCCCCTGACAGCGGAAATCTTCATACACCTCAACCCACAGCCGGGACCACAGCTACATTACAAAAGGTACAGCTACAACCGGTTGTGGATAATAGGCTGCAAGTTAGGTTTATTTAGGTAGTCTAGGACTTTTTTTCCATTGGGAGAATTGAATGTAAGTTTTGATAGTAAAATTAAATTCTCCCAGGACGACACAAACCTTATTATACAGATGCATTTTGGAGAATGCACTACTTTTGTAAACAGCTCTTAATCCGTTATTATTTAATTTGTATTGATTTATTTGTTTTTTTTATTTTTTATTATTACTGCGGGATATTGCGCATTTGTTTTCATCGGCACACACCTGTCTTTCATCAACCAATCGCTGTGGTTCCTGCAAGGGAGCTCATCCATTAAAACTGACATAGCAATGGAGTCGCACTCCTAGCTTAGGAGTTTTCGCTTCTCCATACTAAAAGTTGGTCTCAGCAGCTTTGTGAACAGGACATAGGAAAAAACTTTTAGATAAAAACTTTTAGCACATCTTAGGAGAGGTAAGATAAAATGCTTTGTGAATACAGGCCCAGGGCTCTTTAAGTCCCCCCCCACCTCCTGCTGGTTTACAATTCCCCATAAATCTGATTGAATTTAACGTTAGTGGGCATGGTTACTGAAAAATTCTAACTAATGTGATCAGGTCTGAATCGGTCGCTATAACGCGGTTAACATCCACAATAGCAATGCAGACTGACAGTCTCTGAGCCTGAGTCCGTTGTTCGGCCACATCAAGTGTGAATTACAGAAATAACTGTTGTGAAAATGAAACGTCTAACTGTGCGTGGTTTCTGAAGCAGTCCTCCTTGAAGTGCGGGTTAACACTATAATGTTTGGAGCAGTGGAGAAAAATTAAGTAGATTTTTGCAGGAAATTAAGAACACTGTCTTTTCGGCATGGCTAAAAAATGAATGAAAACTCTTCACAAGAAGTTATTTGCTGTGCCTTGTGTGGTGGAGTGCCAAGCTTGCAGGTGGACAGCACCAAGAGAAGTATTGACGTCAATAGGACCAGGAAGTAATGTCTAGACCCCCAACGAGGCGTTTCATACAAAGGAGAAAATTGGGTTTTTACCCTGACAGTTACTCCCTTGGATATAAACTTTGACCCTTGTGACTCTGGAGTCCATTTACATGACAAAAAAACCTATATAACACACTACAAGTAAGGTAAAACTCAGAAAAACATAATAGGTTCCCTTTAACTTGTCTAATCAAGTCAGTTTGGGTCCCTTGGTCCTGAAGAAGGTCTCAGGTCTGCGTGTCAGTATGCCTAAATGTGTTCCTTGCAGGTCAGGTTCAGTTAGGCATGTAGTACGCTTTGGAGTTAGTGTATGTTACAGGGCAGTTAAACGGGAAGGGAGGAAGTTTATGTGAAAACTTCTGGTATATACATTCACCGGCCACTTAATTAGGTACACCTGTTCAACTGCTCATTGACGCAAACATCTACTAAGCCAATCACATGGCAGCAATTCAATGCATTTAGGCATGTAGACATGGTCAAGACGATCTGCTTAAGTTCAAACCGAGCATCAGAATGTGTAGGAAAGGTGATTTAAGTTACTTTGAATGTGGCATGGTTGTTGGTGCCAGGCGGGCTGGTCTGAGTATTTCAGAAACTGCTGATCTACTATGATTTTCACGCACATCCATCACTAGTGTTTACAGAGAATGGTCTGAAAAAGAGAAAATATCCAGTGAGCAGCAGTTTTCTGGGCAAAAATGCCTTGTTAATGCCAGAGTTCAGAGAAGAATGGACAGACTGGTTCACGCTGATAGGCTTAAGGCAACGGTTACTCAAATAACCACTTGTTACAATCGAGGTATGCAGAAGAACATCTCTGAACACACAACATGTCAAACCTTGAAGCAGATGGGCTACAGCAGCAGAAGACCACACCAGGTGCCACTCCTGTCAGCTAAGAACAAGAAACTGAGGCTACAATTCACATGGGCTTAACAAAATTGGACAGTAGAAGATTGGAAAAACGTTGCCTGGTCTGATGAGTCTCAATTTCTGCTGCGACATTCAAATGGTAGGGTCAGAATTTGACGTAAACAACATGAAAGCATGGATCCATCCTGCCTTGTATCAATGTTTCAGGCTGGTGGTGGTGGTGTAATGGTGTAGGGGATATTTTCTTGGCACACTTTGGGCCCCTTAGTACCAACTGAGCATTGTTTAAATGCCACAGCCTACATGAGGATTGTTGCTGACCATGTCCATCCTTTTATGACCACAATGTACCCATCTTCTGATGGCTACTTACAGCAGGATAACGTGCCATGTCACAAAGCTCAAATCATCTCAAACTGGTTTCTTGAACATGACAATGAGTTCACTGTACTCAAACGGCCTCCACAGTCACCAGATCTCAATCTAATAGATCACCTTTGGGATGTGGTAGAACTGGAGATTCGCATCATAGATGTGCAGCCGACAAATCTGCAGCAACTGCGTGATGTTATCATGTCAATATGGACCAAAACCTCTGAGGAATGTTTTGAGCACCTTGTTGACTCTATGCCATGAAGAATTAAGACAGCTCTGAAGGCAAAAAGGGGTCCAACCCATTACTAGCAAGACGTACCTAATAAAGTGGCCAGTGAGTGTTTAGTTAATGGGCTAAGTATATGAATCCACCAGTATAACCAGTATAAATCCGGCAGTTTGAACAGGTGAAGACTGCCCTGACTAATGTACCTGTTCTGTTGATGATCCTCCTCTTCTGAGCTTTTGTCAGCTGTTCCTTCTTCTCCCTTTTCTTGGCTGTTGAGCTGGTTGTTGTTACATCACTGCTTGATGTCAACGCCTGCAACAACAAGATATAATCAAAAGCTGTTTTCTTGAAACACAATGACTCTGATCATTACTGAAACTGATGTGCACAGCTGATGGAGAATGAAAATACAATGAATGTCTCAATTCAAAATCAAGATATATGACCAAATAAACTTCTGTGATTTTGAGGGAATAGATTCCATATGTAATTGTATAAAACACCACAGCCATTAGTCGGGAGTATTGAGGATGGTCAGAAGACAGAACTGTGCTCACCACAGCAGTCACTACAGGTTTATGGTTCTCCATGAGTGCCTCCTGGTTATCCTTGGCCCACTCAAACAGGGTGTACATCATGGCAGTCCCCAGGTTTGCCTCCACCTGCTCCTCCAGCTTTGACAGGATCAGCTGCTTCGTCTCTGCAGAGCTGTGATTGAACCCAAAGAAAAAATAAGACAGTGTCCATAAACAACGGTATCGTACTGCAGTCACTGACTCAAGCTGACCAAAGACATTTTGGCTACTTTAGCTCATTTGAGGCCACTGTGTGTTGGCATTGGCGTCCCCTTGTGGTGGTGGCAAAGAGAAAGATACGAATTCAGACAAAATGTACCTGCAGTGGCAACTTTTAACTGATTTGAGTATTTTTAGACTCATTATGTTTAAATTTGATAATGTTTTGGCAAATAAGAGGATTTAGTATTTCTGTTTTGTTCCAGGCAGTCTGGAGCTTTGAAAAAGCTTTCAGATATTCCTGTTCACAAATAAATTCCAGAAAATCTAAGTTCAACGAACCAATATAACAAACAAAAACACACAAAATCTCAATAATTAAAAAAAAAACTTAAGAGAAGCTGTTTGTCTGCCTCTGTACATGGTTTCTTGCTGGGCCATTGTTATGTTTACAAGGCAAGAGGTTATAATACGTCCTAACAGCTATGTCTTCAGGGCAGGCTGGAGGCTGCAGTGAGTCGCTATCAGTGAGTGATGAGATGGGCCGGGGCTAGCTGGTTAGCATGCTAACTTCAGTTGAAGAAAAGACGTGATAGAGACAAGAGTTAACATTGGTGTTTGTTTCCACCTCTGGTGACAGCTGTTGGTGAATAAAGGAATGAAGTTTGATGCTGAACTTGCAAAAACAATGATGTCAAACTCATCGACACTAATGGAAACTGTCAACAAGAAGAAGCCATGGCGGGGAAGAAGAAACGGTCCAAAGTTTAGCTACATTTCACGAAAAAATGGTAATTTCAAGTCAGGGTCTAAACACTAGTATGTTACATAGAGTAACAATAAAATTAGTGTCACATTTAAACGGTTAAACTGGGGCTTTGGCAAACCTTCAGTCACATCCATATTGTTTTTGTACTGTTTCTACACTTTGTTCAGACTCAGTTGTGTTGATGCTGAAAACCTCTGTAGGCAGAAAATTAATTTCCTGATTAATTTCAATAACCAGAATCAATAATTGTATCGGTATATTAATTCCCATAAATACACATTGCCTTAATATTTCTAAAATCATTTTTTTGGCCCAGACAGCAACAATTTTCACCTGGATTGTCCTTTTTTTTTTAACTCAAATTTCCTACTTAATTAAATTAATTAAGGCGTCAAAAGATGACAGTATTGACAATAAAACTGTTCTGTGGTTCTATCAGAGCAGGTGCATCCCTCTCTATCTGTAAGAATCAGTGAAGACTCATCTATTCAGAGAGCACCTCCTCTCCTAACACCCCAACATGTCTAACTAGCTCCAACTGTGAACTTTACTTGCACCTTTTTACTTAGTTCTTGCACCAAGGTCTCCTACTGAAGCTTTAGTGATCACTCATAAGTCTCTTTGGATAAAAACGTCTGTCAGATGACTAAATGCAAATGTGAGTGTAAAATATATATATATATATATATATATATATATATGTAAACTGTTTATTACAGTTGAATGGTCCTACGATTTATCCCTGCAGGTATGAAGTGATTGGTGTTTCCAGATTTTGCTCTCATCTGTCATCAGTAGTTCAAATAAAAATCAAAGCATGACCGAAGGGAGATCTGACAGTACACTGTACTTCAAACATACATCCTATTGTTGAAAAAGGCATCAAGGGAGATTTCGGGGGCTGTCTCAGGATACGTCTCTGGCCATGTGATGTCCAGGATGAAGGCTTTGATGTCCTCAAGGTCTCCTATCTTTTATATAAAACAGAAGGTGAGACAAGTTACTACAGCAGAATCAATCCGAACAGCTTGTAGCTGTGGAGAATAATCTTCAGACTTTGTCTTCCTTTTAATTTCTGTTGATTTGTTGTATTTTTAAAGCAGGTTTGTACAGTACAGAGTACTCACCCTAAACTGAAATGACACTGGGCTGACTTCCTTGAAACCCTCATCCCCTTCATAGATGGAGCGCAGAGCCTCCAGCTCCATCTGTGATTGAACAAGAGGTTAGTGACAGGTTAGTCTGATATAAGTAGTTATTTGTCGCGGGCCGAACACCATTCAGAAATATAGTAAATTAAATTTGAGGCAGTTTGAGGGGTGTGCAGGACAGAAACTAGACTTTACACATCCCCATGGTGACTTATTTTTTTTTATTTGGCATATATGGAATCCTTTAGGCATAAGATGACTTCCATAAATATAACCTTTTACTTTCTAAAGCCACTTTCTCCTGTATGTGGAGCAAGGTGGCTTCGGTGAAACGTTAATATTTTCTGGGCATAATATTGCTACTGATGGTTAACAGTGTACACCGAATAACTTTGCGAACGTTTTGTAGTGAGACAACGTCTTTACTTGTACTTTCTGTGGCATGTATTCCTATCTATAACGCAACACATTAATTTAGCAGATTTTGGATGGAGTTTGGTGATATTTTCTCTGTTATGAACGTCGCGAATCAGGGCTTATCAACGGATAAAAACCCACTTGACACCCTGGTCTGGCCGCTTCTATAGTTACAAACAGCGCTTGCACATTAAAGTAAAACTAACATGTTGACTTATTTTATGTATGACAAGTAGGGAAGCCCTGAAACCCAACCTCAAATGCTAATAGCCATGCTACTGATATGTAGTTAGCTATTAGCCGCTAACGGCAGTGGCAACTACTGCACCGTCATTCATTCATACCTCTTGATCCTCGTTCGCTGTCATGGTTCTCCTCCTGTTTCTGTTCACAGCTTCAAACCTATAAAACTTCCACAGTTAACGACCCATTTCTCTCATTAAAACTTCACTGTTTTAATTTCACAACTTCCCCAACTGCTACAGCCACTGACGCCATGCCAGTACACGCATGCGCTGTAGGGCACGCTACGTAAACTGAACCATGTTGTCTTGCGTGGATACAGTTTATTATTATAATTATTACATTAAAATTATTACATTATTACAGTTACATTAAGAGAATAAGGTTTTTGAATACATTTGACCGCTGCATATTGTGGATAAACTGATATAATCAAGGAAAACATTCACATGGATATAGCAGGAATATAATATGAGCTGTAAGGGAGGTGATTTTGGGTAGTATATGTTAATAAATACTGTTAGTGATGAAGTAAGAGACACATCGGGTAAAACGGGCTTTAGTCTGCAGACTGAATTATCCTGTGATTTATGTGGATTACATAATACCATATTTTCCATTTTATAATTTTTTTTTGACACGTTTGCTAAGAGCTATCTGAACATATAGTACTGTTTACCCGCGTTGGGGAAGCTGCTTTAAAAGAACTTGTTGTGACGGTCAGTCTATCTAATAAATCCAGGTCCATGTAGTGGTGAAGGAGTTGCAATCATTTGCTGAATTTATTACATTCTTTGGTACACAGCACACGGAAGATTTTCTTTAGCATCAAGCTACCTACATGCACACACTACTTTCGGTTTCCCTTGCCGGGTATTTCAGAATAAAGGTCCTATAGACAGATTTACCAAACATTACAGAACCCATACAGAAATGTAACATATAGCATATCAACAGTGATGTTGCCATATATGTCACCTATAGGGATGTATTATTGCATATGTACATCCTCTGGATATATGAAAATATAAGTTTATAACATATATGAAATACCCAGAGTAAAAGTTCTATACATGATATACATATATTAAAAATATCTATATGATGTTTCTTTATGGTATAACATGTTGCAACCATACATGTTAAAGACACATATTCAATTTATATATGCAAAGCAACATACATACATATAAAAATTCTATATGTTTATATTAATTTCTTATTAATTTTAAACATGTCTGTTTTCACATTCTGGGAAAGGGGTCTCAGACTTTTTGACTCTACTGTTTATAATATCAACATATATTGACAGACTTTGAGATGGATATATATTTATGCATCATATGTTTACAATGTGAGCATGCATACATTAACATACATATTTATTTGCGTTAGACATATGTGACCTGCTCAACTGAAGGGGGAGCTAAGGGAATACTAAGGCTCACCTTAACCCGGGTTTCCCAAGACTGGATTCTTTTATATCCATACAGGCCAACACACAGATAAGTATAAAGTAGGTTAGTCAAAGACGTGGCTTCGAGCGCAATTGTACAAAGTTTATTAAAAAGAGTAAAATGATCAATCCCAAGTTCCTTTGTTTTACTATTACACAATACTAAAATACCAAGACACTTGCCTGGCTGGTTTAAGATAGCACAAATGTGGCGATGCTAGAAGAAATTACTGAAAAAAGAAAAAACTGTTTCTGGGCAAAAGGGTTTTGGTATAGGGGGGGGGGCTATACCAAAAAACAAGAAGCCATTTGTACTACGATATCACACTAGTATATTTAAACATATGAAAATGCCTGTTTTTGTTTTTGCTGAGCTGAAAGTACATATGTTATTATAAAATATAACACAATAACAAAACATAATAAAATATGTGTTCTCATAAAATAGACAAACTTTTCAAGAAGTATTGTTTTGCTCAAATCCTCACAGCAGTACAGGACCATATTGGTAAGGAATGAAAAAAGAGTGTTATTGTTTAAAATTTATACTATTAGAAATTGAAAAAGAATAGTTATTAAAATTAGACTTTACTCATTTTAAATGTGAATCAATTTTTTCTTTTTTTTGTAAAATTACGCTTTCAGGCCATTTTTGTGGAACTGAACGGTGTGGCGCTATGGCGAAGTTTAACCCGCCAGAAAACTTCAACTTTAAGCGGCCAAGAGACTGGCCTGCTTGGAGCCGGCAATTCACACAGTACAGATCTTGCTGCTAAGTTGGCTAACGAAGACGGCGACATTCAGGTTAGCACCCTCATCTATGCCATGGGCAATGAAGCAGTGAACATTGATGACTATGAAACGGTGCTGGCTAAATTTGACGGATACTTCATAACAAAGAAAAACACCTTACATGAGAAAGCCTACTTTCACCAGAGAATGCAAAAGCCGGGGGAGATGGAGAGGTGGGAGACAGCCGCGTAAGGAGAGAAGCGGTGGATGGGAGAAAGCCCACTCAGAGGACTCCAGGTGCTGCCGGTGCGGGAAAGAGAAGCACAAAGTCACAGCTAAATGCCCAGCATTAGAGTCTGAATGCAGAAAATGTGGGAAAAGAGGGAGCGTCATAGGGAGCGGGAAAAAAAAGTTGGTAATAGAAATCTCACATTGTAAAGACAGCAAAAGATGGTGCCGTGCGAGTGGCAGCCTGCCACAGCAGCTCTGTACTCTTTTTTACTTTTTTTTACTCTTTAGTGTGATTTTTTTCTTCGTACTACACCGACACTTTAAGCAAGTGCAGCTATGGGTGTTCATACTTTTACACTCGTGTTTTGCCTCTTGCTGTTTTCTGAACTTTTTGATGCAACGTCGGGGGACTCACTTTACCACGGACCCATTGTTTACACTCAGGACCAGCTGTTAGCCATGTGCCACACACCCCTTCACTGCGCTGTGCGGCCGGAGATCCCTGTGGAGATCCAGAGAAGGAGGAGAGGCTGTAGAGCTGGAGTGAAGCGCAGACAGCGGAAAAAACGGTATAAACCATGTTTACTGTCTGTCATTGTGGGGAATGTAAGATCACTCCCAAATAAGATGGAAGAGCTTACTGCGCTAACCCAGCTTCAGAGAGAGTTTCGCGAGTGTAGCATCATGTTCTTCACGGAGACGTGGCTGAGTGAACTTTCTCCCAACTGACATGTCACACTGGACGGATTTCAACTGGTACGGGCGGACAGGAAAACCACGGAGTGCGGTAAGAAGAAGGGAGGAGGGGTTGCTGTGTTCGTTAATGAGAGATGGTGCCACCCTAGTCACATCAGAGTCAAGGAGCAACTCTGCACTAGAGACTTGGAGCTGCTAGCGGTTAGCATGCGGCCGTACTATCTCCCGAGAGAGTTTTCACATGTCATTCCGGTGACTGTGTACACCCCCCCCTCGGCCGTCGCTGCTGCAGCCACAGACCAGATCCATAGTGTTGTCTCTCAACTTCTAAACCAGCACCCCCATTCCCTCCTCCTCATCTCTGGGGATTTCAACCACACGTCCCTGTCCTCTGCTCTTCCTACCTTCACCCAGTATGTGTATTGTCACACCAGGGACAATAAAACTTTGGACTTGTTGTATGCTAATATCACGAATGCATACACCTCATCCCCCCTCCCCCCGCTGGGACGCTCAGATCACAACCTTGTCCACCTGATCACAGACTACACCCCTCTGGTGAATAAACAACCACCTGAGAAGAGGTCTGTGAAGGTGTGGTCCGAGGACACCAGTGCCAGACTCAGAGATTGCTTTGAAATAACAGACTGGGAAGCACTCTGCAGCCCCCACGATGGCGACATCGATACCATGACCCACTGCATCACAGACTATATTAACTTCTGTGTGGAGAACACTGTGTCCTCCAAGTTGGTACGCTGTTTCGCCAACAATAAACCCTGGGTGACCTCCGAGATTAAGGCCCTGCTGAACGAGAAGAAGAGGGTCTTTAGATTGGGGGACAAGGAGGAGTCCAGAAGGAACTCAAACAGAAAATCAGGAAAGGGAAGGACTGTTACAGACAGACACTGGAAGAGCGGCTGGTGCAGAATAACACCAGAGATGTCTGGAGTGGACTGCAGAACATCTCTGGCCACGGAAAAGGAGTTAGAAGAGACCTGAGCTGTGGCGACAAGAACTGGGCCAATGAACTGAATCTGTTCTTCAACAGATTTGATTCTGCCCCTCCCCCCTTACCTGCCCTGCACCCTCTTCACACCTCCCTGGGCCAGCTCCCCCTCCCCCTCCTCTCCTCAACCCGCTACTTTCAACTCCCATTCACCTCCAGCCCTCCCCTCCCCACCTGTACAACTGCCCCCTCTCACCCCCCACCACCCTCATATCCTCATCTCAGTCATCTCCACCCCCTTCTCCATAACAGTTGATCAGGTGAAGTGTCAACTTAAGAAGATCAAGACAAGGAAGGCCCCAGGCCCGGACGGCATCAGCCCCAGATTACTGAAGGACTGTGCAGATCAGCTCTGTGGTGTGCTCATGCACTTGTTTAATCTGAGCCTGAGCCTGGAGAAAGTACCGGTCCTGTGTGATCCCGGTACCTAAAACCAAGCGCCCCAGGGAGCCTAACCATTTCAGGCCTGTTGTCTTGACCTCTCACCTGATGAAGACTTTGGAGAGGATCATCCTGAGTCACCTGAGACCACTGGTGAGCACACAGCTGGACCCCTTGCAGTTTGCTTACTGGCCTGGTATTAGGATGGACGATGCAGTGATCTACCTACTGCATAGATCACTGCTACCCCTGGAGGACAGTGGGAGCACTGTGAGGGTCATGTTTTTTTGACTTTTCTAGTGCTTTCAACACGATCCTGCCGTCACTGCTCAGAGTGAAGTTGGAAAGTGTGGGAGTGGACCAATACCTGGCTGCATGGATGACAGACTACCTCACCAACAGACCACAGTACGTGAGGCTTCATCAGTGTGTCTGATGTGGTGCTCTGCAGTACAGGTGCCCCCCAGGGTACGGTGCTCTCCCCTTTTCTCTTCACCCTGTACACCTCGGACTTCACACCAGAAGTTCTCTGACGACACAGCCATTTTTGGGTGTGTTTCGGAGGGGAATGAACTGGAATATAGGACAATCATCAGGGACTTTGTCAGCTGTTGCAAGATCAACCAGCTTCAGCTTAACGCCAGCAAAACAAAGGAGATGATTGTGAACGTCAGGCAGAAGACATCCCACTTCACACCAGTGAACATTCACAGACTGGACGTCGCGGTGGTGGAGAACTACAAGTTCCTGGGGGT